AAACATTCAGTGTACAAACCCGGCTTGGTGTTTCCTTTCCCTGACTTGGTTCCCGTGCCCTTGCATCCTGCAGTAATTTGAAGATGTAGATACCAGAACAAGATCACTGTTGTTCTTCAAAAGGAGCAAGGGGTGTGGCAGTTCACATTTCCCTGCCAGCAACTGCCTCTCCGCCACCCACCTGGGCTTGAAGGCTGACTGCCACTCTAACCAGAGGCAGGACCTATGGCCCCGGTCCCCTTGGCCATTGTCTTAGCTGCGGTTCTATCACTGAGACAAAATGCTTTGACCAAAGCAAAGGAGAAGAGAAAGCCTTTAGCGCCAGGCAGTGGTGGTGCCTACCTTTAATCCCAGCACTGGGGGTGGGGTGGGGCAGAGGCAGGCGGATCTCTGTGAGTTCAAGGCCAGCCTGGTCTACAGAGCGAGTTCCAGGACAGGCTACAAAGCTACAGAGAAACCCTGTCTCGAAAACCCAAAAAGAAAAGAGAAAAGAAAAGAAAACCTTTATCAACGCAATGATCCCTAGTGGTATTGTTATGCTCATAGATTGGCGCCTGGTCCAGTTGTCCTCAGGGAGGAGTCACCCAGCAACTGATGGGAGCAGATGCAGATAGCCACAGCCAAACACTAGGCAGAGCCAGGGGAACCCCGAAGAAAAGGGGAGGAAGGGTTGTAGGAGTCAGAGGGGTTGAGGACACCAGGAGAACATAGCCCTGAATCAGCTAAGTGGAGCTCATAGGGACTCACAGAGACTGAACCACAGCATCACCGAGTCTGTATGGGTCTGAGCTGAGTCCTCTGCATATATGTTATGTGTAGCTTGGTGTTCTTGTAGGACCCCTTACAGCGGGAGTAGGGGTGTCTCTGACTCTTTTGCCTGCACTTGGGACCCTTTCCTCCTACTGGGTTGCCTGCAATTCCAAGGGAACTGACAGCCTTGATACGAGGGTCTGTGCCTTGCCCCATTGTAATGTGTTATTCTGTGTATGGCTGATATCCCTGGGAGGCCTGCTCTTTTTGGGGGGTGGGGGAACGGAGGAGTGGATCCAGGGGAGAGAGAGGGGTGAGGGACTGGAAGGATTGGAGGCAGGGGAAACTGCCATCGAGATACAATGTATGTAAAGAATAAAAATTAAAATAAAAAGCCTTTAATTGGGCCTATGTTCAAGTTGGAGTCCATGGCAGAGGAGCACAGGCAAGGCAGCAGGAACAGCTGAGAGCTCACATCTCCATGAGTTAAGGAGAAAGAGCCCAAAGCCAGCCCCCAGTGACACACCTCCTCCAAGAAGGCCACACCTCCTAATCCTTCCCAAAAAGTCCCATCAAATGGAGACCAAGTATCCAAACATATGAGCCTATGGGAGCCATACTCATTCAAACCCCCACAGTCATAGACACTGGCTTAGGGACAGATGAGTGACAACCATCTGGCACAGGGAGACACAAATCCTAGGATTCAAGAGATAGAGGTAGGATCTGAGGTCAAGCCTGGGCTAAAGTAGGACACTTTGTGTGCTGGGGCAGGGAGGAGAGGAGAAGGGAGGCTGAGAGACAGTTCACGCTAAGAGTATCTGCTGTCAATCCTGAGGACCAGAGTTGGGGTCCTACAACACGTGTAACAAGCCGGGCATGGAGCAAATGCCTGTAATTCCAAAGGAACTGACAGCACACACACACCCCCGGCTTCCATGTATGAGAACACACACACACACAGAGGGGGAAAGGAGAGAGGGGGAGAGAAGGAGAGAGAGAGAGAGAGAGAGAGAGAGAGAGAGAGAGAGAGAGGTACACACGACAGACAACAATCGCCCTGTAGCTTTGGCTTGACCTGGCCATCTATCTATCCTGAGAACGGATGGCTCCTCTCATCTTGAAAGATGGCTGGCAGATAGCCCTGGGGCTAGAATTACCAGGGAGGCTGGGCAGGGGGAAGAAAAGGACAGTTGAACAAAGAAATCTACTGAAGGAGACTCATAGGCAAGATCGCCTCCCCTCAGTGAAACGGGACCTCGTGGAGGCCATACTGGCTCCAAACTACACAGTGGAAGCTGGCCTTGAACTCCGACCATCTCCTGAGCACTAAGAATACAGGCATGCACCACCATGCCCGGCTTCTGTGGTGCTGGGAACAGTGCCGGGTTCTGTGACTACCGGATAGGCGCTCCACCCCCTGAACCTTGTCCCCAGACCACTCAACCCATTTCTCCTTCACCAGCTGGGTTGGGGTTTGTGTCACTTGCACCAAAACCCTATGAACAGAGAGCCTTGAAGGGACAGTACTCTCCCAGGACCTGCCCTCCCACGAAAGATGCCAGTCCCTCCCAGAGTGCCCAAAAGCCGGGGAAGAAGACATCAGCTAGAGACTAATAGAGGGGAATCCCACCTATTAGGAGGGAAAAGTTCACTAGGAGAGACCCCCTTGTGGGTCTTGAGTGCATACCAACAATGTCTATGTTGAAAGTCCACCCTGGGCTGGGGAGCTGGATCAGTCAGTGAAGTGCTCAGCATGCAAGCATTAGGACCTGTGTTCGAGTCCCAGAACCCATGGTAGTCAGGCATGGTGGTATGTGCTTTTAATCCCAGGAGCCTGGAGACAGAGACAGGAGGAAGTCCGGGGCTTGTTGACCAGGTAGTCTAGACTATTGATAAGTGTTAGTAAGTGAGAGCTTATCCCAAGAGAAGAAAAGGTGGACACACCCCACAAGGACTGACACCTAAGGTTATCCTCCACAGCTAGTATACACAGGAACACACAGACACAGATATATACACACGTTCACACAGAAACACACACAGAGAAACACACATTCACACAGAAACACACAAACACACACACACAAGGACACACACATACACACACATATTCACACAGAAACAAACACACACACACAGGAGAAATTCAATCCCCTGTGAGTCATTAAGAGGATGGGAACTTAATCCAACTATGGTGCTCAGAGGTGGGGCCCATGGGGCTGCTTAGGATCAATGAAGTCATCAGGGTGGAGCCCTCATGGCTGAACACTGGCAGCTGGGTAGGAAGGTGGGCGATCAGGAGAGACGCGTGTGCTCCCTGTCTCCTGCCATGTGACATCCTGAGGAGTCTCAGCAGGAAGGCCATCAGCAGAGGCAGCCCCTAGTTTGTTTGCCAAAAGAAACCTCCTTCCTTCCTTCCTCGCCCAGTCTCTGTCATCATGTTACTGACAACAGAGAACAGGCTAGTACACCCTGAACAAGAATCCCTGAGACAGTCTCACGCTTCACTCTCACCTCACCCAAGTCGCGGGGGTGACCGATTTGATCTAAGTGGTAAGCTGAGACTGGGAAAAGAAGGAGGCTGCTGACTGCTGTGGGTCTGCAGTCATATACAGAGCTGTGGTCTGGAGGATGGAGAGGATGCTGGGAGCCGTGGTCCTGGGGATATGATGCTGGGAGCTGTGGTCTGGAGGACGGAGAGGATGCTGGGAGCCATGGTCCTGGAGATATGATGCTGGGAGCTGTGGTCTGGAGGACGGAGAGGATGCTGGGAGTCATGGTCCTGTGGATATGATGCTGGGAGCTGTGGTCTGGAGGACGGAGAGGATGCTGGGAGTCATGGTCCTGGGGATATGATGCTGGGAGCTGTGGTCTGGAGGACGGAGAGGATGCTGGGAGTCATGGTCCTGGGGATATGATGCTGAGAGTTTTGGTCCTGAGGTCAGAGGGGATGCTGGGAGGCATAGTCCCAGGAACACAGGAGTTGGGATCTGATGACAAAGAGGATGCTGGGGGCTGGGACCTGGGCAGGATGTGTTGTGTGATGATGACCCTTGGTTGACCTGGATATACAACAGTTTTGAAGTGATGGAGATTAAAGAGTAGAGCTTTCCAGAATAGACACAGGGGGACCCTGTTTACCTGTGGTCCTTGAGTACTGTGAGAAGTAGAGACCCCCCCCCATCCCAGTTTCTCACTCTTCTGGATCCTATGTGTCACAAGCCTGCTCCAGGCCTTCAGGTGTCCACAAGAGCGGGTTTGAGAACCCACGCCCAAGAGAAAGAATGGACCAAAGTCTGGAGGGGTGAGTCAGCCTCCGGGTTGGGGAATGGAACCAGAAAGGGAGAGACACATACTGGACCAGACAGTGGGGAGAAGGGTACAGAGTTTGGATGCCACACCTGGAAGGCCGCCCTAGAGGCCTCTCCCTCCCCAGAGCCTAGGATTGAGACTTCCTTCCAGTCCGGTTAGCATTCTGGGGGGCCCCTCCCAGGGAAACAAAGCTGAAACTTGAGATTTCATGGTCAAGACCAGAGGGGAGGGAGCTGACTCCATTCTATGCCCTGCCCTGAGAAGTCCATACCTGCCCAGCCACCCATTGCCCAGCCTCGCATTCTTTCCTGCTCACATTCCCCTTTGCCGCATCACACCCTCTCCCCCAAAGCTCACACTCACAGCACATGCCAGCACCCGGCATCTTCGCGCGCTTCCGAGCATCGCCCTCCAGCGCATCTCCAGAGCATCTCCCACGCACCCCCCTTGTGGGTCGCCTATGCATCTTCTGCACAAACTCGAGCTTCTCCCTTGCGTCTTCCATGCATTCCCCCGTGCATCTCCCGCGCCTCTCCCACGCATATCTCAAGCATCTTTCACGCACACTCCGGTACATCGCCTGCGCATCTTCCCGTGTCTCCAGTGCAGCATCGTCTAGGGAGCCCCACTCGACCTAGCTACGCCTGCGCGCACACGCACGCACACCTTTGCACCTTCACACGACCCTCCCGACCTTCCACTCTCCCGAGTCCGCCCCCAAAGGCTCCCACGACGCCGTCACGCTCACGCCCAGCCCGCGCGCCCCAGTCCGCCCTCTGTCCTGCGCTCCCCCCTCCCTGCCGCGCGCCCCGTCCGCGCTCTGGTCCTCCCTCTCCCCGCATTGTCTGGGCCTCTCTGCCCCCGTCCCGGGCCCGCCCCTCAGTCGACGCCACGCCCACCCAGGCGCGCAGTGGGCGGGGTCGGGGGCGGGGCAGGACTCGGGGGCGGGGTCGGCGGCGCGGGAGGTGCAGGTGCCGGGCCGGGAGCGAGCGGCGGCGGCGGCGGCGGCGGCGGCGGTGGCGGCGGCACCATGGGCCGGGCCCGGCGCTTCCAGTGGCCGCTGCTGCTGCTGTGGGCGGCCGCGGCGGGGCCAGGTAGGGTGACGGGGGTGGGGGCCGGGTCGGCGAGCTATATCGAGGTGACGAGGGAGGTGTGCGTATTGCAGTGGGGCTGAGGAGGGGGTCGCGCCGCGGTGACAGCTGGGTCGCCTGGGGGCCTGCAGAGGCCGGAACAATGCGCTTGTCGGGGGGTGGGGGCTGCGGGAGACCCTAGTCTCCGGGACAAAGCGCAGCGCGGGCTAGGGGCCCGGAGCCGCTGGCGGGGGGGGGGGGGGACGCGGGCCCCGGCCGCCGTGCCGCAGCCCCCCCACCCCGCACAGGCCCTGATCCCGCGGGGACAAAGGCCCTGAGACCCTCTCCCCCCCCCCCCCTCCGTGTCCTCAAGCCCGCCTTCTTCAAGCCGGTCCCACTGTCCTTCCGTCCTGGTCTTTAGATCTCTCTCTCTCTCTCTCTGTCTGTCTCTCTCTCTCTCTCTCTCTCTCTCTCACTGCTTTACCCCCACCCTTGTCCTCTGTTCCTCAGTTTTCAAGTCCTGTCCTTCCTTCTATCTGCCCCCTTTCTCCTGGCCTCCCCCTTACCGTCTTTCCATTCTGCCTTTGTCCCCCACCTCTGTCCCTTTTTCCTGGGTCACTCTGCCTGCCCCCCCATCCCCTATTCACTCTGCTCCGTCTCCTGCATTACTGCCCTCCCTCCATGTCCCCATTCACCATCTCTCTCCCTGTCTCCTTGACACCCTGTATCTCCTTCCTTCTCTGTCCCCCATCTGCCTCATCCCCTTGGCTCTCTGTCCCCTGTCATTCACCCATTTCCCCACCTAGCCACCTCCTTTCTTCTTCCTATTCCACTGTCCCTCTGTCCCCCCCAACTCTGCCTTCCCTCCCCAGACATCCTCCATCGAAGTATCCCTCCTTGCTCCTGGAAAGAGGCGTCAGTCAGGGGAGCGACCGTATAGATGTGTGAAGTGGGATAGGGGATGTTGGCATGTGGGCACACACGTGGATTCCACAAATGTCTCCCCAAACCCTCCCACCCATTCACACACCCAGGCCACACTTCACAGAAGAGCCCCTCCAGGACGTGCACACCTCTTCCTCACTCACTGCGGGATGCTAAAGACCCCCAAGACAGGGTGACCCTGAGGCTGGAGACAAGGTCAGGAAATGTCACCTGAACGCTCACACTTAGAACCCTGTGAGTCTCGTAGCTGCCACGGGACACTCCTTTCTGGTGGGTCAAGTTACTTTGCCTAAGAATATGTGATGGGGAGGTGACTGGGGAACAAAAGCTGGACTGAGGACACCTATGGGGAGTTGAGAGACAAATTGGGAACAAGTGACTCAGGGCTGGGAGCCCTCTTTCCTGGCTCCAGTTCTATCAAGTGACAGTGTTGAACTTCATGACTGAGGATGTGAGAGCTTCTAAGTTGAGTGTGGTCACACCTGCCACTTCAAGGGTTGCAGCTGAGGACGAGGCTGGGGGGCAGAGCCGACCTCAGAAGTTCTCCCTTTCTTCTGTAGACTTCTGCAGTTGCTTCCTAACTTTCCCCAGTCCCTCCTCTGCAACGGGCATGCCCCAGTTTCCCAGGTGAGAGCTTGGGACTCTTGGTATTTCCATCCATTTTGATTTCTCTTTGTTCTTACTCATGAAAACTAGGCTCATAGGATCCTGGAACCAGCAAGTCAATAAACAAAGAGCCTGAGGTTCTTTAGAACGTTGATGCCCTTAGGATGCTGGAAGTCTTTAGAACCTTGACACTTCTCTGTTTCTAGAATTTGGTTGGCCATGGTGGCCTGTAATCCCAGCTGCTCAGAATGCTGAGGCATGAGTTCAAGACTTGCCAGGATCAGTTAGTGATGTCCTGTTTCAAAACAAAAGCACAAAAAAAGAAGGGTGTGTGTAGTGTGTGTGTGTGTGTGTGTGTGTGTGTGTGTGTGTATGCTACGGAGGAAGCTTATTAGTAATAGGTGTCTAGAATCCACCAATGAGGGGATAGGAGTGTGGCCCAGTGATTACTTGCCTAGAATTAGCAGCCAGTGAGGGTCTGGGAGAGTAGCTCAGTGACAATGCATTTGCCCAGCATGTGAGAGGTCTTAGGTTCAATTCCCTAGTGCTGAGAAAAGAAAAAGAAGAAGACAGAAAAGGTTCTAGATTCTCAATGATGGGGATGAACTGTTGCCTTGACATATGTGGAATCATAAAATCTCTGCCCACTGGGGTTATGCAGCCCCTGAGCCCTTGGATGCTTAGAACCTGGATGTAGCCTCAGCTGATATTCTATTCAGTTCGGGATTCAAATCTCAGGCACTTCTGGGAGGTAACTCTAAGCCTTGTCCCTGGTTTGATTTTAAAGTCACTGCTTCCTGGCACCTTAATCCCTTCTGTTAATGACCTCTAAATTACATGCTGTGGGGCTTTATAAACAGAAGGCAAGCTTGGCGTCCTGGGGAGAGCTCCAGGCTTGGGTCTTGGTCCAGGCAGTCAGTCTTCTCTGGCATAGTTTAATGTCAGTGTCTATCCTTCTCTGGGCCTCAGTTTCTCCTTCCGGGGAACATGATCCTCAAAGGTCCCATTTATGGCGCTTCTGTTCGATATCCAGTTGTCTGTCTTTTTTTTATTTTGTTTTATTTTTGTTTTTGTTTCTCTGTATATCCATGGCTATCCTAGAACTTCCTCTGTAGATCAGACTGGCCTCCAATTTACAGAGATCTGCCTGCCTCTGCCTCCCAAGTGTTGAGATTAAAGGCATGTGCTACCACTGCCCAGACCCCTTTTTAGACACAGGGTCTCGCTATATACAAAAAGCTGAGCTTGGGGCTGGAGAGATGGCTCAGCGGTTAAGAGCATTGCCTGTTCTTCCAAAGGTCCTGAGTTCAATACCCAGCAACCACATGGTGGCTCACAACCATCTGTAATGAGGTCTGGTATCCTCTTCTGGCCTGCAGAATATTGTATACATAATAAATAAATAATTTTTAAAAAAAAGCTGAGCTTAAACTCACTATGTAGCCCCCCTGCTGGTCTCAAACCCTTAGCGATCCTCCTGCCTCAGGCTCCCAAGTACTGAGATTGGTTACATACCTGTGCCCCATGCCCAGCCTGCCTCCCTCCCTTCCTCCCTCTCTTTCTTTCTTTCTTTCTTTCTATCGGATCTTTACGAAGGACCCTTACCACCCGTCTTTAGGAGGTCACTACATCTCCTTACCCAGTCAGCAGGATTGGGAGACTGGAGCCTATATTTTTGCCTTTCAAAAAAAAAAAGTGTCCCATCTCTTCAGGCTCATTATTTGTTGAGAATATGAGAAGAGGAAGATAAGGCAGATGTTGAGAGAAAAAGGTCCAGGTGGATAGAAATATGCCAAAGGTCAGTTGTACTCAGAGAGGCACATGGGGTTGGGGGCAGGGAATGGGTGGGGGCCCACAGGAGGAAACTGGGTAAGACAGAAGGAAGCAGGGAAAGCTGGTATTTAGATTCCAAGAAAGGATAAAGAGGTCCTTAAGGCTTGGGAAGCCCTGTGGAGGGGGACTTTGTTGTCCCCAAGTTAAGTTTCCCTTCTAGGGTGACTCACTTCTGCCTGTTAACAATTCTAAGCAGCCACTAAGAACATAGAGGGACCTCCTTTCACTGTGAATCACCCCGAAGAATGGGTCTTGGGAGATATCTGTCACTGGCCCCCGACCCACTCATGAACTGGATGCCCGGTTCCCGGAGTGTGGGGGTGGAGGTTAGGTTCCACTACAGATTCCAAGCCCTTAGACCCAGCAGGGCTAGGGCCCAGGGGTGGGTTAATGTCGTGCGAGCCTGGCCTGTCCCCGACTTGGGGAACACAAAGGCAGCTTTCTCTCTCTCTGGGTGTATGTATGTGTGTTGGGGTGGTGTGCTGGATGCAGCCAGTCCCGCCAGCATCCAACGGCCCATGGCACCAGAACCCGATCACCGGTGGTTTCTGCCTGTAGACACCGGGCACCTAGGCCCCTCTGTAGACACACAGGGCAGTGGGGTGGGCTGCCAGGTCTTCATAGAGCAAGGAGCAGAAGGGTAACTGAGGCAAAGACTTGGACAAGCAGAATTCAACGGAGGTTTGCATTCTTCCGGGAACCCCACGCTCAGGGTGACCCTCTGAGGGACTCCTCATCCCCTGGCTGGGCCAGAAGCCTGGAATCCAGGGAGTCCCGAGTATCCCAGGAACGTGGGGGCCACAGGGAGGACTTTGTGTGAAGCTGCTGACTCACCCCTGGACGCCCCCATCTAGGGCCCTCGTCTCCAGACACTCAGTAGACAAAGGACAGAAGGCAGGATCGTGGTTTAGGGGTCCAAATTTTTCAAGAGAGGAGAAACTGGGGTTCAGCCGCCTGTGTCTGAGAGAGGAGGGCTAGAGTCTGTTCTCCTGTATCAGAGTGGGAAGGCTGGGGTCTGTGTTCCCGCATTTGAGAGAAGAGCCTAGGGTCTGTATCGCTGTGTCTGAGGGAGGATGCTGGAGTCTGGACGCTTGTATCTGAGGAGGGAGGCTGGGGTCTGTACCTCTGTGTCAGAGCGGAGAGGCTGGGGTCTGTGCTTCTATGTCTAAAGGTGGAGGCTGGGATCTGATCTCCTGGGTCTGAGGGAGGAGAGCTGGGTCTGGACCCCTGTGTCTGAGGGAGGAGGGCTGGGGCTGGACTCCTGGGTCTGAGGGAGGAGGAGCTGGGGTCTAAGTCCGAGGTTTAGGGGACTAGGAAGCTATACTTGTGGGTACTGAGTGAGGAAAGAGCTGGGCCTCTTCGGCTGCCGAGGAAGGGAGGTTGAGCTGGGACCCTGATGCCCAGGTCCTGCAAATACAGGCGCCTTCACAAGGCTGATCTGCTGGAAGAATTGATGCTTTGTGCAAGGATGCTCGGACTCCGCCATTGATGGGGGGCCGAGGGGGGGTTCAGGCAGGACCCAGGAATGTACCAGCTTCCCAGGGGGAGGGAAAAGGAAAGAGGCTTGGTGCCATGGGCCCCCTGGGGAACGGATACAGAGGGGGTGGCTGTGACCTTCCCAAAAATGTGACCTTGAGACT